AGATCCAGGTAATTTGAGGTTTTCACTACACACTTTTAGCAATTTTCACAAACCACTACTACTTTATTTAATTCTACTTAATTCACCATAAATTCATTTATTCTTCATACAATTCTTTTATAAGGCTGTCCACGAGATAGTTGCAATCAGCTGACTTTTTTTGTTTGTCAAGAACTTTTGACAGATCGCAGTAGAACTGGCAGGTTATTCTCATATGAATTTCTGTTTTGTTTATGCTTATATTCAGCAACTTTAACACCATATCACTCACACACTCTTGATTTATAGCTGTCAGTTCCACACAGAAACGTCTCTTGGATCACCTTATTCTATTTCACAATAATCGTCACACACTGTAATTTACAATCTATATTCAATAAAACTTCACTGTTTACATTTTCATATCGCTGACGTCCCGGAACAAGAGCTTACACTCACGACGGCTTGAGCTTGAGCTTGGGTGATCGGAAGTAATATTTTCTGCATCTTGTAGTTCCCGAAGGGCCGTTAATGTCAGCCAACAGTTGTCGGAGTCGGTCGGTCTAACGATTTTCGGGAGGTCGGCAATGGATTCGATCTGTGGGTTGGTGAGTATAGAGTCGGTGTATAATGAGTCGCGCCAAGAGAAAAACAGTTGAACTCGCATCACGGTTTTCGAAGGATTTCCTTTCTTTTCACTTGGCAACAGAGGACTTCTACATCAACTTCAAATGACTTCTAGCGAGAACAAAAAATAGCGCCTGTAGTTAATCATTATATCAGTGATTTTGTCAAATTATCTTATCAAAAATTAGTAGAAATTCTCATTACTGATAATTACCAAACGTATCCAATGACAATTTAATGCTCACTGCGTGTTTATGATCATTTCTTCAATCATATTTTATATTTCATTGCAATACCTTTCGTGAACCTTTCATAGCATCGAAATGTTTATTTACTTTGCACGATAGGTAGCCGGTTTGACAGCTCAATAGGTAGACTTCGCTGCACTCTTTGCGAGACTCATTAAACACCGACTTTAGGTGAGTAGATGACTCTGCGATGTGCATTCGTGCTGGATATGTGGCCCCTTCAGAAATCGTATTTCTGAACAATCCTCGTACTTCGTTCCATTGGGTGGTTTAGGTTTTCCGTGATCGATGTTTTGGTGATAACGTCATCTCGTTGTCGGATTACCGTTGGGCGATTGTTGACGGACAAATCCAACTTAAAGCCATGCGCGACTGGTGGCAGGTATAAGCATTAACCGACGGTGATAAGTCTATGACAGCCCTTGAAAATTTCGTTTATTTTCTACAAAATTGTGAAATTTTCATGTAAATCCCAAGGGGTGGTCACTCTACACACTCATTTTGCACCAGCTTTTCTCTCCGTGTTCCGCAGCTGTACCGGCAGTGCCGAGAGCGCCAGTCATTAAACTGACATTGTTTGCTTGCGAATAATGGAATGTTTGGCAACCCGCTATTTGGACAGTATAAATCAAGGGGCAAGACAGCTCCTAATTATCAGCAATTTCATAGTTGCTTTTGAGGCACCTCGAGTAACTCACATTGCTCAGTGAGCAAGAGCGCTGTAATTTGCTTTCTCACTTTTCGTATCTCAGCAACATTTCATGCGAAGCCGAAAAGTTGCTGTGTTCTGCTGACGGTGGACATTAGAGTGATGCAAAATTTGAAATTTTCGCTCCACAATACTTAAACGATTCCAAATCTGATCCTGACTAACCTCTCAAAATTTGAACCCATTTGGTGAGAAACTGAGATGGCACAAACCATTTGAAGTTTGTATGGGAATTACTATGGTAAAACCAAGATTTTTGTTCATGTCGATCTAATAATTCACCATATCGGTCTGCTTCAAAAACTTTCAACTGTACTTGTAGGAAATTTTCCCTACAACTTTGCTGAAGACCACTTTTTGATCAAATGCAATGATCGAAAGTTATCAATTGTTCAATGCGCTGATGTCTTATGATCATGCTCAATCAACTGCTCAGCAGGCAACATTGGTGTTTCTGGGGCGTTGAATAGGACACAAAAATCATGGCTACTATGTCAGACTGCAAAATACAGTGTTGCCTACAGAGCAGCTGCTTGATCATGTCATAAGTTTACTAATCTTTTAAATAATTAATAACTTTTTACTGTCTCGTTTTACATAGAAACGATCTTCAGCAAAGATGTAGCTGAAAAAATTTTCTATAAGAATAGCTATCGATCTGTTTCGCAGCTCAATATGGAAAAAAAGACTAGAAGGCAATGAACAAAAAGTTGAGATTTCCCATAGTAATTTACATGTAAACTTCAAATGGCTTGTGCGAAGTCTGTTTCTAACCAAATGAGTTGTAACTTTGGGAGGCTTATCAGGACCCGATTTGAAACCATTTAAGCACTGTGGAGCAAAAAAGTCAAATTTTGCATCAGTCTAGTGGACATCCATCCCCGCTTTTGATGCTTTTGCTGGGCCTTTTTTGCTATACACCACCGAGATTTTGCTGCGGCCGTCGACCGAAGTCTCCAGGATGTAAAGAGAAAGTCGACGAAGAGAATCTGTCAACTTGATTTGTGCTTCTTCTTTCTGACGGGTTTTCACTTCGGTTTCGTCCGGTGGATCGTTAATGGGTTTGAAGTTCAAACGAAGATCGCACTCATCGGAAACAGCAGCTACTTCCGAGATGGGAAATGACAGGTGGGCAGGAACTCACAGTCTCCCAGTGTTGGTGAGTTCTTTGCCGTTAATGTTCACGAAAAGTTCACTATTTTGCCATACAGAAATTCAAAACAAAAATTTTTTATCTGCGGATTTGGACAGTTTTTGACCTGTTTCATACGGCCGGAAGGTGTATGCTGGTCACAAATGTCGTGCGAAACTGATTTCCTATGCAATTAATCAATCTTTGATGTGAATTTCGCTAATAAACACGACGAGCATTTCTATAGCAAAACTTGCCATAACAAAATGGGCGGTTCATTTTAGTAAACAAACTAACACTTCTTCCGACTGTGTCACCTCTCTTACTCGCCTAGAGCTAATTCATTGTCATCCTCCTCTTCGGCTTCGGCGGTGGCAGTGGCTGCACTGATGCTCTGGCTGAACATTCCACGGTTCCACGTAATGGTTTGTAGCGTTGTATTCGGAGCTGGAATTGAGTGTTGATCGGTTGTTGCCCCACCGGGGAGATATTTTCTATACAGGAAACTGTGGCGGCGGGTGTCGTTGGAGGGGTCATGGTTTAAATATTGCTCTCCATAGTGCCAATGGGAATGTTAGTCGAAAGGGGATCGGAATTGGTTATTACCACATTGACTGGTGATGTCATTTCCAATGGGACTCCTGTTACGACTGGAGAAATCGAAGAGGATGGGATCGCTGCATTGTAGGTGGAATTCCAGATCTTTTGAAGAATATTGGAGAGCTTTTTTGATCAAAGATGGCCCTTTTGGAGTGACGACTGGGACTGGTTGCTGAGGAGGAAGAACAACCCTTAAAGCTGGTTGGAAGTGTAGGTTGTTATTGATAGCAGGCTTGCTTCCACTCACTTGCTATAAAAACACAATTTTCTGAATTTTTAAATCATTAGATGTTATGATAATATTTTGAGCTTGTGAAATACAAGAAGAGGTTGATATGCAAGTGTTTGACACATGAAACCTGTCAAATTTGCTTTCAGATAGTCACAATAAGCGATTTTACGACTCGCGAGCGCTCACTCTGAGTGAACGCTCACGAATCATAAAACCGCTTATTGTAACACTATGGTAGCGAAATTGACAGGTTTTATGAGTCAAACAATTGCCTTTCATCCTCTTCTTGTATCTAACAGGTACAAAATATCATTATAACATCAAATGATTTCAAAATCAGTAAATAATTTTTTTATAGCAAGTGAGTGGAAGCAACCCTGATTGATAGTAAGCAGGCACCGGCACAGGTTCTTCCATAATATTCTAGCTATTCGGAAGGCTCAGAATACACTTGGGATTACTTTAGCTACAAACAAAATTGACGTCTAATATGAGACGTATATGCTTAAAAAGAGTAAATGAAGCAAGCAGAGAATATATTGAGGTACATTGAGTTATTCGCTGCAAAAAAGCAACTCAGAGTACACCTGTCTCACCCCTTGGTATAAATGTATGAACCAAGACGGTGATCCAGATGCTCCTCGGTTGGAGAAGTTAATACCACCGGTTGAAAACTAACGATTTAAAATTGGCTCACTGATGAAATGAGGGGTTCGTGGATTTTATTATGTTTCGAGGGGTACATCGATTAGCTTGAGACCGGAGAAGGTATCAGAGCTGAGCCAAAAAGTTGAGCGCGTTTCTTCGGGACCTTCTGGTCCTAGAGTAACCTCTAAGGTACATATAATTTCGAATGTTGATGCTTTAGAACAAATGTCCAACAAAATAATTAATAATTTCAGGCAAAAGTAGGTAATTCCATTTAGGATAGATCTAATTTTGGGCCAACGTCCTTTACATCTATTTTTGTTGCGAATTTTTTCCTAAAATAGATTTACACTGCAGATGGCTTCTAAATTTATTTACCTTTCCGGACGTACGGAAAGATTTTAAAAAGAGTAACTATTTGTTGAAATTTTTTTAAAAAATCTAACAACTGCTTCACGACCCCTAACTCGGCCTACGGATTCTAAATACGGCCTAACGCATCAAAACGCCATTGAATCGCTATTGAATTCACTTCGGCCTGTCGGAAAAGGATAACAATTGATTCGTTCGCTTTTGTTTTTGAGAATAATGGGTGCAAAAATGCATATTACACGTTCTTATTGACTTCGTTCGGTAATAATGTCCCTAGTTCCCCTAAATCATTTTAACAACTAACTTTTCTGCAAACGATAAAAAAGACATGCTAACAGGGAGATTTCGGAAGATACTCAAACAACCGTCAGGAGATTTCAATACTAAATATCAAGTAATAGGTATATAGATGCGGTCGTAAACTCTTCAACAATCATCACGCTTAAGACAAACCGCAAACTCTTCCACTTAAACCTGTCTTCTCTGATCAGTTCCACCATCAACTTCCGGGATGATTGCATGCCGCTTGCTAAAGTAGTTGCAGATCCAATCGACCAGGTACAATCCAGCACTTACGAAGCCGAACGCGCTAGCAACGCGATTGCTAGCCAAACCGTAGTACTGGAAGCTCATGATTAGCACGTAATATGCCAGCACGTGGTAGACCATAGCAGCCAATCCGGTGAACCAGAGCTCCATCCGGAACCAGACCATGGGAGTGAAGGCCCGACAAAGAGGACGAGCCGTCAGTAGCGAATCGCCAAGCAGTAGCACCGTCACAGCCATCGCGTTGATTGTGAAGAAAATATACGGAACCTCTGGGAAGGCTTCAAACGGTTCCGTGGATCGTCTGTTTCGCATATGTGTCAGCACCAGGATCACGATAGCTGCTATCTAGAGGGGGAAAACAAAAGTTTTAAATTGGTTGAGATCTTAAAGGTTGAAGTGATGTCATGCTCACAATTTGGCCCAGCTTGAGTGCTGAACGTAGGCTTTTCAGCGCTTTTTGATTGAACCAGCTCCATGGACATTCCGATGGGTTCTGAAGTATGGTGTCGTCATCCAAAGGGAATTGAACAGAATGGTTTTGCTTTTGGAGAAAGTTGTGAATACCTGGTGGCTCTTCGGCCGAAATGTTATTCATTTTGGAAAAGAAGGTTCACTTTGATGCACAACAATCGAGCGGAAACTCAACAATGGAACTTTTTAACTGAAAGTCTACCTTATCGAAAAGCGATGGCGAAGCCGTTTGGCGATAAAATGGGCTGTTCACCTGATAAGCTTTATCGATCGCAAAAGAAGTCCAAGTGCTGTGTTCCGTTCGGATAAGGTTCACAAAGTTAAGCTGTAGGTAAACTCCCGGTTGAACATAAATAATTTTCCATTTATTCAGATAAAAATATTCGTCGTGATTGATAGTGCGTACACTTTCAATAAAGTTAACGATTATTTAAATACAAATTACAACGCTAAAATAGACGTTCGTACATAAGGCTTGTTGATTGGTTTGTTTTTTTTTTTCACGACGAAAGAGGTTAGGTACGCACGTCCCCAAACTTCTTCTATAGGCATTAAGATATCTGAAATTTTGCTCCCTATGCTAATTTTGCACGGTTATAAACGTTGTTAAACATTATTTAACATACCTTAATGATTATTAATTGTTAATTTCCGACGCAGCCTAAACATAGCTTCTTCTCTACAAGTTGCCTAGTTTTGTATTATTATTATTTTCACTGTGTAACAAATGGCTTTCGATCGTGTGTAGGTAAGTCATTAATTTTCTGTGTGTGTGTGTTTTTTTTTATGGTAGTCAACGAAGGCTTTACGTCAGTTTTTTTGGTTTTGATTGAAAAAGTTAAGTTGTGACGGATATAAACGATAACAAAAAAGTAAAAAGAACAAGATTATTCGCTTAAAATGTAAATAAAGAAAACATGTCTACACAATAAAATGCACTGATTTGTTTGTATGTTCGTTACCTAGCTTGTGTGTGTGTGATTGTATAGAAAATGACTTCATTTGATGCATTTTGCTACTTTGATTTCACTAACCATTAATTGTAAGTAGATGTGTACTGAAAGCAAGTTGATTGCCAACTTTAAACACCCACCATGAGCATCCTTTTTTCGAAAGGATGTCACCTACACTCACTGATGGAACATTTCCATTCTTCCATTCCATCAGATTACTCTAGGTGTCTTATTAGTTAAGTGCTGATGTGTTTGATGTAACCCTATTCACGTCCTTGTTGGTCGGTGGTTTGTTTTATTTCGACGAGGTTACACTCCGCTGGATTTGTGTTCCACAAAGAGGAAGTAAGTGCCCGCTGAGTATGCCAGGAAGTTGAAGATACCGAACACCTGAAAAAATGGAAACACATTAATATCTATTTGTCGGCTGATATTGAGCAAGTGTTCCTATTATGACCGGATGAGTCAATGTTAAGAAATGTTGCTTCTACGTCGATAGAATCCTGGATGGAGTGATTAATTCTATAGCTAAACAAATATATTTGTAATATCATACACTACGTAAGCAAATGACTGAAAGTTACAGAGTAAGGACTCGGCAAAGAAGCACCTTAAACACCCGGAGAATTTTCTGAAGCTTCTGGAAAATTGTTAAAGTTGAAGATCGAAGTAGTCCGCGCTGCGAAAATGACGTGTTTTTGTTAAGCTGCGTCGAGTTCGATCTTTCAAAAATTAAAATAATTTCAATTCTGATCTAGAAAAAAGTTAAATTGAAAGCACAGAAGTTGTATCAAAAGAGTTTCAAGTGATAATTAACAAATCCCACGTGTCCCAAGTGTTTTTCGCAGTGATCAATGAGTTGAATGTTGAATCAAACCCTTCCTGTTCCGTGGTATGAGGTGCCATTTGCTCTAACTATGGGGCTTATTAAACAATGCATTAATAAACATTCTTGAAATGGGTCATTGGATTTACACCTTTCATCTCCAGGGCTAAAAATTTTTGCATATATCGGTAAAAACAGTTTTATCAACATATAGGTGCAGGCAGATTTCTTCCATAACAGCTCTGCCGGTTGAGTGGGGGATGGATTGTATCCACACCACACACATACAAACACAGGGCTACAAATGGTGAGTTGACAACCTGGGAAGAGCGTTTTACCTAGCTCTGGTCCTCACAAGTTCCTACCTCACACCTCCCCGTGGTGTAGCCTGGGCAATGTTGTCCTTCCGACAATAGCAAAGTGAGAGGGTGCGACACGAACACTGGCGCGGTAACCATTGCACGGGGATAGAGAAAATGCTTCGTCAACCCGCAGGAGTGCCAACCGGCACATTAGAATCGACGCCAGTAAGATCCTAATTACGGCATACTGGACACGGCATGGAATAATGGACACGACACGGCACAATGGATTGGATTGGATACATTCTGAAAACGGCGGCTCCCACGAAGGACCGTGTCAACCCTAGCATGGCCTCCCTGCTTGCATGGGATCACGATAGGCGACTATATACAACGAGAAAAAAATAAAAACGAATAAAACGAAAAAAAAAAACACAAAACAAAAAGTAGAAGGGTCTGTGCCTAGGGGCACGAACGGAAGCTTGACGTAGGACCGCTAGTGGACGGAACAAATGTGAACATTTAGTTCTTTTAATTGATCAAACATCAATTATCTTAACTCTTTCCGTTTTTTATTTGTAAATGTATCAAATTTGTAGTATTTATTTCAAAGCGAAAGTTGATGAAGAGAATCCAAGAGACTGTCAACTTGAGTATTTTCGATTCAACTACCCGACTTTAAAAGGTGTATTTTGAATTTTTTGTTATTTACGATTTTTTAAGTTTTGTGCATTTTGGTATTAAAGTGTATTCAATTCATCCCTCACAGGATTTCCTTCCGAATTATATGAATGGGGCGGGGCGGAATGTATCATTTGTGCAGAATATGTAAAAAAGGAGGGACTTCGAGAGATTGAACTTGTGAGAGCTAATTTTCTCACAAATTTGATTTTATTGGCTTTCTGGGGACTGAATATACACCCAAAGCGTGGGAAGTGGGAATTCACTCAAATTCTATATGGATTTTTAACACTTCCTACCAGCATGTTCTGGGAAATGGTCGGACGATGATTATTCTCACCAATACATTCTGGCCTACAATTCCACACCTTATATAGATACCTGGTTGAGCCTTGATAGCTAGCTGCTTGCGGGAACTGATGACCTTGACAAATGTCAAAATAATACTCTTAACAAATTTATGGTGGTCCTGAATAGGACCGTTTTGTAGTGATGGTTGAGCAATGCTGAGCTGAGCACGACGAGCTACTGATTCCGAACCTAGCCTACCGGTGGGACTTCTTCTTCCTTCTCTATGGTTGCTCATATGAACTCTGCAGCTCGCTGCTTGTAGGCAGCCTTTCGTTGTTGTTGTTGTTGTTGTTGAAAGCACTCCTGCTGCTGCTGCTGCTACTACTGCTGCTGCTGGACTGGACATCACCACTTACGGTGATTGAATGAGCACCGTTCAGTGGGACCGCATCGAATTCGATTTTTAAGTCTGTTTTAGGGAATGCGCTGTTTTCAGACATTCGGTGATAATTTTGATCACCATTGCAACAGTTGGACACTTGGTATTTTTCAATAGTGACCTATTGAAAATTAACTAAGTGTTCATTTTAGCAGATTGTTAGATAAATTTCCAATCGTTTGGCTTGTTTAGAATTAAAATCTATCTGCTATTGGTCGAAATCTGACCTCTTTTCGTATTGCTGTGCATTTTGGTGCCTTGAAATTGCGTGGATTCTATAGATCCTGTGGGGATCTATCTAGCCCTGATGTATGTGTTGGTAGAGGGAAAAATGTAAACTTTGCGGGAGACGATGTCTTAACACTCGAAAGCAATTTTATGAAATATGAAGTAAAACAAATCCTAGCTAGTTCTGCATGATGATTTTTTTTATTTGATTTATTTGTAAAGTCGCCGGGAAATACCCGCTGGCGATTTGTTTTTTTATGATAACTCCTTATTTGAAAACAGGCAAAAACTCACAAACAGGTTGCTTTTTCATGATATAAAGTGTGATGATTCAATAATCAATAAATTATCTCAACATTTAGTGGCAAACCATTCATAAATTTTGGTAACATGCAAAAAATAAAATTCTAAAATCCACATTAAATTTCATATGTAAGCGCCGATTGAAACAATCTTTTCGACGTCACTACAAGGGTGATTGATTAAACGAAAGAAACGAATCGTGCTCACAATTCCACACCTTCTATAGACAGGTTGAGCCTTGGTAGCTAGCTGCTTGCGGAAACTGATGACCTTGACCAATGTCCAAATACTCTTTGACAAATTTTTGGTGGACCTGAAAAGGACCGTTTTGTCGTGATGGTTGAGTAATTCTGAGCTGGGTGTTCAAAACGGATGAGGCTGTCGAGCTGTATGTCGTTTTGAGCGAGGGTGACACGCTTGGCATAGATGACCGACCCGCAGCGACTCACGAAGAGCTACTGATTCCGATCCATAGCATAGCGGTGCAGCTTCTTCCTTCCTTGATGGCTGCTTATGTGAGCTCTGCAGTTCGCTGCTTGCAGGCAGCCTTTCGTTGTTACTGGAGAACAATTTTCAACGCCACACGCCGAAAGCACTGCTACTGCTGCTACTGCTGCTACTGATTTCGACGACCGAACACCACCACACAGTGGTGGGGTCGTTGGGAACTTGTGTTTCTGAATATGGCGATGAGTGTGCAAAATATTACGCAATTCCATCCTCCCTATTCGCGCCCGAGGATCGGAGGCGAATGCCACTTCGACTTGTTTCGTCTACTTACTACTCTCTGACGACTGTGCTGGGGAAGCAGCATATGCATGTAGGTAATTGGTGGATTTATTAGTTAATTCGACGCTTTTGGACAATGCTGGATACTAAGCAGTTTTTCAATAGTTTCTTGTTGAAAATCAACATTCTGAAGCATTTTTATCGATGCGTAGCCATATTTCTGATCGATTGGTGATAAAATTCTTGAAATTGGACCAGAGGCAGCTGAGTTATTAACGTTCAAAATCTTTCTTAATTTGTTACATGTTCCATTTTCGGTTTTCACAAAGTGTATCCCCATATAGAAATCAAAGACGTAGTCCTACGTCAAAAAATATGAAGGACGACGGCAAGACGCCAGACAGTAACAACAGAGGAGCGAACGTGTTCGCAAGGAGTGGGATATTGCAGAGATCACCAGTGTTGAACCTGTTGAAGCAGCAGTAAGCCCCAAGGTGAGCAGCAAGGACACCAAGTAAAGCTAGGTATTGTACTAAGCCAGATGTTCACACCGAAATCCAGCAGTAGCACACCCCAAGAAGGATTGCAGCTTGGGAATACCAGATTGATGGAGGTCAGAAGGAGAATCAATGAACTCCATGACTTCCACAAGGCAATAAAGGAAATGGTGACGGGCATCAAATGCTACCGAACGTGAGCAGGATGCGGTGAGGACGAGATCCGTGACTGCCGAAAGGGCACTGATCGAGGCCAAGGAGAAAGCAGCAGCTGAAGCACAGGAGACGCCGAAGGGACCTCGAAATCCACGCTCGGAGAAAAGGGAAAAGGGAAACGCCAGGAGAGGAAGAGGAGTTGAAAAAAGGCAAGAACGACAAGGAAGACAACAAGGAGGAAGGATAGCGTACCGTCGAGAAGCCGAAGGAGAAGTGGAAAAAAACGGAAGGAAAAAGAAGTGAAGGATAAAGAAGAACAGAAGAAGGAACGAAGCAAGAACGATGCTCTGATCGTCGAAGCAAAAGACAAAACGTCGTATGCAGCACTCCTCCGGAAGGTTCGAGAGGATCTGAAGTTGAAGCAACTATGAGAGAACATGGTGAAAATCAGGCGCACCCAGAAAGGCGAGATGCTTTTTGAGCTGAAGAAGGATCCTGCGATCAAGAGCTCAGCCTTTTTCAATCCCAGTCAACCCCGCCGGGATGTTCTGAGGCATAACATCTCGGATCAGGTTAGTAAAGCTGTTGGTCCCCGTTCATGAGTTGATGGGTCGATATGTAGGGTGTAGGTGTGGGAGCTGCCTCCCTGGCGTCGGTAGCATTGGTGCTCAGCACGGAAAACAAGATCGACGGAAAACAAATCAAGGGAAAAGAAAGAACTCAGCCTTCAAGGAGCTAGTCGAAAAGTATCTTGGCGAAAGGGGCGAGCGTAAGAGCTCTATCCCAGGAGACAGTGTTCGAGTGCAGGGATCTGAACGAGATCACTACAGAAGAGGAGCAGAGAAGTGCGTTAAGCGTGCACTGCAATCTGGGAGATGTCCCGATGTCAATCCGGATCAGGAAGGCGTACCGTGGCATGCAAACGGTGGTCATACGGCTTTCGACGTTTGCAGCGAACAAGCTGTTGGAGACGGACAAGGTCAAGGCTGGGTGGTCAGTGTGCTCGCTGAGAGTCACTCCTCGGGTTACCAAGCAACTGGAGCGATGCTGCAAGTGCATGGGTTTCGGTCACCAGACGAGGAACTGCAATGGCCCTGACAGGTCTGATCTGTGCGCGAAATGCGGAGAAAAGGATCATATTGCAAGAGGCTGCACGAAGCAACCGAAGTGTATACTCTGCAAAAAAGAGGACGGAAACGATCATACGACGGGAGGCTTCAAATGCGTCGCATTCAAAAAGGCCATGGCAGGCCAACAGTAATGAAGGTAACCCAAAATAAAGCTCAATCATTGCAACACTGCTCAGCAACTGTTGTGGCTGTCGACAACAGAAACAAAGTGCGACGTAGCAATCATTGCGGAACCGTATCGAGTCCCTCCCGATAACGGTAACTGGATGGCGGATAGAGCTGGGATGGCGGCTATACAAGTTATGGGCAGATACCCTATTCAAGAAGAGATTGCGAGCTCATACGAAGGTTTCATGAGCGCCAAAATCAACGGAATCTTCATATGTAGCTATGTAGTTGGATGATGGAGAAGTTCCATGAGATGCTGGATGGACTTACCGAAGAGCTGATCGGACGACGATCGGTAGTCATCGGAGGAGATTTCAATGCTTGGGCAGTGGAGTGGGGAAGCAGATTTTCCAATGCAAGAGGGCACAGACTGCTGGAAAACAGCATTTTTCACAGAGATGGCCGGGAATCCATTATCGACGTTACTTTCTGCAGTCCGTCGCTGGTGGCAAACATGAATTAGAGAGTGTGCGAAGCATATACCCACAGCGACCATCAGGTGATTCTAAATGGCATCCATCAACGGAATTCTGTGGCAGTACGGAGGACGAGAACATGTGACCGAAAGTGGAAGACGAAGGCTTTCGACAAGGATCTTTTCGTTGAAGCACTCCGTGTGGACAGGGACCCCGTAGATCTGAACGCGGACGAGCTGACAGCAAACGTTAGTAAGAGCATGTGACACGACCATGCCGAGGAAACTGGAGCCAAATAACAGACGGCGTCCAGGTTACTGGTGGAACGAGGTTCTTAGCACCCTCCGCGCTAGTTGTCTCAGAGCCAGAAGACGTGTTCAGAGAGCAAGAAAAGAAGCAGACAGAACGGAACAAAGAGGAGTATTTCGAGCGGCTAGGGCCGCACTTAAACGAGAGATAAAACAGAGCAAGTCAAACTGTTTTAAGGAGCTGTGCCACGACGCTGATGCCAACCCCTGGGGCGACGCATACCGTAGTCGTGATGGCGAAGATCAGAGCTCCAACGATGCCCGCTGAAATGTGCCAAGAGAAGCTGAAAGTCATGGTGGGAGCAGTTTTTCCGACGACCCAACTACCTGTCCACCTGGCTCATAGCAGTGGCGAAAGGATTGAAGGTGAAGAAAGCTCCCGGTCCAGAAGGAATCAACAACGGGGCGTCCGAAGCGGCAATCCAGGCGTTCTCACACATGTTCAGGATGGTGCTGCAGAAATGCCTGGACGAGGGTCACTGCCCTGACAGGTGGAAGATACAGAAGCTATTGTTGCTGTCGAAACCAGGAAAATCGCCGAGGGAATTCAGCAGCGTATAGACCTATATGCCTGCTGGATAAACTCGGAAAACTCTTGAAGAGGATCATCCTAAACAGGCTGACGAAATGCACGGAGAGTGAGCACGGATGTTCGGATTCCGGAAAGGGAGATCAACGGTGGATGCAATTCGGACAGTGGTCTAGAGAGCCGAGAAGGCGTCTAAACAGAAGCGGAGAGAAGATCGATATTGCGCCGTGATAACGATCGACGTCAACAATGCGTTCAAAAGCGCCAGCTGGGAGGCCATCGCCGAAGCGCTGCTTAGAATAACGGTCCCTGATTACCTGTGCAGGATCCTGAGGAGTTATTTCCAGAACCGGGTTCTGGTCTACGAGACGGCAGTTCCACAAGGCTCCATCTTTGGTCCAACGCTCTAGAACGGGATGTACAACGGCGTGCTAACGCTGAAGCTGCTCAAAGGAGTTCAGATCAGGCATACCAAAAGTACCGCCTCATGACAGTATTCCAACGGCTGTCGCTTTCTTTTTCGTACGACAGCCTTGAGATTGAGCTATAAGCGACAGCCCACAGTGAGGCTGTTATACGACATGCAACGTTGCCGTCTTGTGCAGTACACGACAGCTCGTTCTTAGTCATATATTTTGTTCGTTCGGCTATGACTGCCTCGGATGGTCATTCGTAACGTTCCTCGTACATACAACAAGCAGTCCGTCAAACTGCCGATTCGTCGCTGCTGGCTTTGAAATTTTGTTTGTATGTCGTAAGACTGCTACTACACTACCAGTGTGGCGCCGGAGCTCGTTCGGTTGCTATCACGTTCGTGCTGCCCATTGCAAAATTTTCATCCGATATTTTTTTAAAAACGACGGTCTCCGGCAAAAAATATAAGCCTACCCGACACCAACCTGACTTCTACCAAACCCCAACCCGATGTTGGTCCGACATTGACCCGACATAAACACATAATTGACCCGACATCGACCCGACATTTGGTCGACGTCGACCGTAAATTGACCTTACATTGATCCGACATCGGGCCGACGTATCTGTTCGGGATCATTCTTCTGGGTTTCTTCCATACTCTACTGCCGTATATCAATTGTATATAATGTCTCGTGACAGCCTTTTCGTGACAGCCACTTCGGTAAGCTGAGGGATGTCGTCGGTTTGTGAAGGCTGTTATGACGACAGAAACATTGAGAATCTGGTCATAAAGAAATGTATAAATACAGCCCATTCGGTTCAGTACGTTCCAAGCACGATGATTTTAGCAAAGCGGGTATAGATGCGACTGTTCTAATACAGCTTTCATTCGTTGGTGCGTGCGCTGTTGCCAATACACTTCGAATTCAGATCTGAACGTACGGTAGCAAGCGGTAGTAAAGCACACAAAGCAACAGTCAAGTCAGGTATAAACCAACTGTCGTGAGGAGGCTGTACTTTTTGGAAGCCTGGTTGAGATCGTTGGCTTTGCCGTCGACGTCGTCTTGACAGTAACAGGCGACACACTGGAAGAGGTGGAAGTGTTGGCGACCAAGGCGATCGACATGATTGGTAACTGGATGCAAAGAGCGAAGCTGCAGATAGCCCACCATAAAACGGAAGTGGTATTGGTCAGTAAGTGTAAAGCGGTACAACGAGCAGAAATCACCGTCGGGGAGCACGCCATATCCTCGAAGCGTGTACTGAAATACCTAGGAGTGATGATCAATGACCGGTTAAACTTCAACAGCCACGTCGAATATGCCTGTGACAAGGCTTCGAAGACCATCAACGCGATAGCTAGAATTATGCCGAACAACGCTGGTCCCAGCAGTAGCAAGAGGCGTCTTCTGGCCAGTGTGTCGTCGTCGATACTGAGGTATGGAGGTCCAGCCTGGGTTGCAACGCTGGAAACGAACCAGAATCAAAAGAAACTGAGCAGTACGTTCCGGCTCATGGCCATCCGAATCGTGAGAGCGTACAGAACCATCTCGTCGGAAGCAGTATGCGTTATCGCCGGAATGATCCCTATCGGCATCACCCTGGCGGAGGACAGTGAGTGCTACAGGCAGAAAAAAGCCGGAAGAGTACGGATAGCTGTGAGAGTGGAATCGTTGGCTAAGTGGCAACAGGAGTGGAACACGGTGGAGAAAGGTAGATGGACAAAGTGCGACTAATAACTAATATTGGGTGTGACTACTTAGCTCACATTTTACAAGCACAGCATTGGTTATGAAAATATTAGTTATTTGCTAGCATTTCCGTTGAAAATCTCAGTTCTGACCAAAACTCATCTGTCGGTTACACAGCGGTCTCTCTAGGATTTGTAACGTTTGGAACTCCTTGCATCAAATTAAATACGTAGATTATAAAACTCACCCCAGCAGCAATGTTCGCACTCCTTGCATAGCCATGTATGTTGGACCATGACGCCAGTTGCACAATGAACGCGATAAAGTACAGGACCATCGCAATGCCAGTGTTGAGCAGTTCCTAAAAGATTGAAAAAACTCATTATGAATGAAATCATAAACAAACCGCTCGTCATAAAAATCGGTTCCACCTCAATCGAATCAAACCACGCCATGAGGAATCACGCTCCACTGGACCCAACAACAACGATGACGACGACGACGACGACGACGGTTTGAATCGATTACACTCCATACTAGTTTCGAGACGTTTAATGGTTACAAGCGATCGTGTATCATTTTAGATTTAGGATGGTATGTGGGTGCGTGAATTGGTACGAGTTCGAAAGTCGGACAACCAATCAGAAATTATTTTGAGGAGTGCACTATGCTCCAGGCGAGAAAGAGAGGTGCCACAGTCGGAAGAAGTGTGAGTTTGTTTACTCAAATGAACCATGCCCATTTTGTTATGGCAAGTTTGCTATAAGAAATGCTCCTCGTGTTTATTAGCGAAATTCACATCAAAGATTGATTAATTGCGTAGGAAATCAGTTTGGCACGGCATTTGTGACCAGCATACACCTTCCGGTCGTATGAAACAGGTCAAAAACTGTCCAAATCCGCAGATAAAAAATTTTGTTTTGAATTTCTGTATGGCAAAATAGTGAACTTTTAGTGAACATTAACGGCAAAGAACTCACCAACACTGGGAGACCGTGAGTTCCTGCCCACCTGTCATTTTCCATCTCGCACTATGCTGCTGTCTCTATGAGTGGGTACTACCTACCGTCAGAATCCAGTTGATCGGCAGATTCAGCACCTCCCGGATGCCGAGCAGATAGACGAAGCTCCACAAGACGGTTGCGATGAACGATGTGACGACGACGAACAGGAACCAGTGGGTACCGCCAAGCAGGGCAGGTGATGCGCAGGCCATGCAAATGATACCGAACACCTGGTAGGATGGAAGGAAAGAAAGTAGCTTTTAGAATTTTTGTTTGAATCCGTTGTGGCATTTTTTTTTGTGGATGCCTATAAGGGGTGATGCATATATTATGTCACGCTCTAAGGGGGGTGGGAGGTTCCATGATTTTGTGACAAGCAATGCATTAGGTATAGGAAAAGCGTGACGAAAGGGGGGAGGGAGGGTTAATTTTTCGCCCCTAATAGTTGATTTCGAAACTAGATGAAATCTTCGAATATGGCAGCGAAGTAGGGTATGCAGAAAACTAAACACAATAACCATAAGCTGTACAGTGTTGAAAAAAGGGCATTGGCTTAACGAATTATTAATGGATAAAAAATACAAACATCACAATCGAAAAGCCATCGAGCATCAACCCACTTTCCAACCTAACAAGCACTTCCCCTTCAACTTATAAGTTGATCCATCGGTAACAGCTGTCCATATAACGGATGTTGGTGGCACCAGCAGACTGCCAGAAACTGCAAGCGACTTAACTTCACACAAAAGAGATTGACAATGAGACCTTCGAAGGCACTTAAAAGGGTGACACCAATCGAAGGAAACGGATAGCTCAGCATAACTAGCTCGAATGAATAACGGTACAGTACCAGCTCCATCGGACGCATCACTGCAGGCGATCGGGTACAGTTGTAGGAAGATGATATTACCTACCGGTTGGTGTTGCGCTTTTGGCGGAGGCAACAATGTTGCACGGCTATAAAGCATCACATGCTGCGCCGCGGTGTGTGTAGGTTGAACACTCGATTTCAGAATTTGTGTCAAGTCATCGATTCCTAATCGCCACCAGCCAGTGGAATGCTTTGTAAATAAATCGGTAGGACTGTGATCGAATTACAGCCGGTGGGGGTTTGTGTAATATTGTTAGCTATCAGATAAGTCGGTTTGATGGAATGTTCTTCGGATTGTGGATGACAGTGAGTAGTTGGAGAAAGTGATGAATGGTCAGTGATAAGTTAGATAAGCGGAAGTTCCTAACATGGAAACCATTGTATGGCAGGAGTGGTCAAATTGTACACTATTCTGGCCTCAAATTGTCGGATCTAGGTAAAGTTCCAATATCCAATTCTCTGGTGCTCACAGTAAACTAAAAGTAGAGATTGTCGGGTCCGGGTATTTTTACCCGAAACTCGAAGGGTTCAAGTCGGGTATGGGTATGCTGAGACCCATATTCTGAAAAATCTGAACCAGTATAAATGTACTATCTGGATAAACCTGGAATGCTCCAAAAAATCCATAATACTATTGAAATCAAAGTGATGTGCCAATCTCCCGTAAAAATCGGTCAGGATGATCATCTAGAATTTATTCAAAGTTTAAAAAATATATAAAGCCAACTTGTAAGCATTACTAAAATCATTCAAAAGTTAAGAAAAGTATTGACACAGTGTTCCAAAAAAGTTTAAATATCCATTATGCGATGGATCAGACTTCCAATTTAATTCTTGAAAACATACAACTCACAACACTCGGTAGACCAGTAGGAAATTTTATTTTAAACTAAAATTCTCCTGGCTTAAGTGGGAATCAAAGCCTAACATCGTGGTCCTCACACACAGTTTACCTAAACTACGGGTAACTTAACATGTCCATTACAAAAAAATTTATGCCAAAGAATAATATTATTATATATCTAAAATGAAAGTCTGCAAGCGTTATTTTTGAAGTCTCAGGATCATGAAATGATTCTAAATTCTGGAATTTATATTTTTCCTGTGTCCCAGATCATGATTTTTTTTTTTGTTAGTCTGAATTTACTTCATTTACAGAGTTCAATTTGAATCATCCTAGAATTTCATCATACTTCTATTCTGGATTCCCCCAAACTAATCTTGATAATATTCAAACTTATAACATTCTAAGAGTGCATAGCATCTCTTGTAATCTCTTATGAATCACCCTCTGATTCCACAAATCCCTCAAACTGGTAATAATTTCCAAGAATTGGAATAATTTTGTCTAATTTTTTCTCTATGAAATTCCCTTAGAATATTCTTAATAATTTCCTTGGTACGCTCTTCAGCTTGACCATCACATTCTTCTCCGACTGATCCTCTTCAGTATTTCCTAAGTACTCAAGTACTTTGCCAAAATAGCCTGAAAGTCTCCCAGAAATTACCAGATTTCTTAAAACTTGATAAAACCTACACAGATAAAAATTCTGAATTTTAATAGTGATGTAAACATTCATTCACGTAGACTTGTATTTCATTTCACGCAACCGAGCGACTTGTAAACAATGTTATTTCCAACAATAGGCTTTTGTATACAATATTTGCTACATTGTATGAAATGTCTCAGAACCTTACATGATATATAATGTAAACTTATATGTTCGGAGTTCTTGTAGAAAAAAAAATAAAGTTTCTGTAGCAGCTCTTGTAGTCACAGATCTGTTAACAGCCCTTGATGCAGTAGTTCACCAATTTCGCGAGCGACCGGTGGCATTCGGAGGTGACATTCGCGAAATGTACCACCAATTCCTAATGAAGGCAGAAGATAAGAACGTGCTCCGTTTCTTGTTCCGGTCGAACCCCAAATTCAATCCCGAAGTATACTTGATGGATGTAGCCATTTTTGGGTCAGCGTGTTCCCCGGCACAGTACATTAAAAACCTCAACGCATCCCAATACGCTGATCGATTTCCGGTGGCAGCGAGCGCCATCATTCACCTTGACTGCGCGGGTACTACGGAGGAAGCAATCGAACGAGCGCAACAAGTTCGATACATCCACAGCCAGGCCGGTCTAGAAATCCGAAACTGGGTTTCAAACTCGTTTCTCGAAGCTAGGAGAGAATCAATCTCGAAAGAGGGAGTATCACTAAACAGCGGCAAGGACGAAGCAAGTGAACGAGTTCTGGGGATCATCTGGCGACCAAGCGACGACGTATTTACTAGTTCGACAACAATGCGTAGTGACCTGATGCTGTACATGACGACTGCTAAACGACCCACTAAGCGAATTTTTCCTGTTTTTTTCGGGTTCACGATCACACTGAGTTGTAAGTACCAATCCCTGCTGGGATCCACTGTTGCCAGTTCTTCCGGCGTTGCTTTATGCGCTTGATATTCTTCGATCTTCTGCTTCACTTTCTCTTAGAGATCTGGGTCCTTCGAGAGACGCCGCTCCAAACCCTGAAGTCGTTTGTATGCCATACCGTAACTGTCCGGCAGATTCACGTCCTCTTCCTTCCAAAGAAAACCAGTTTCATAACGACCGTCGACTTTGACTGTAGTATTTTCCAGCAACTCGCGTGCTCTTCGATCTTAAGCTGATTCTGGAAGCTTGTCCGTGGTTCTTGCGTCATGAAAAACTCCCGCATCTTTTCGTGCAATTCCTGGTTACTAACAAACCCCGTTGATGGTCCAGTTCCTCTCGGCCCGTAGATTGTCCAACCCAAATGTGATCGAACGGCAATCGGCTCGTTGGCATTCCCAACTCTCGACTCTAAGGGCGCGAGCAGAAATGCATTGTTGAGGCCGATCAAAACCTTTGGTTCCTCCCCGGTGTGATTAGCCGCATACAATCCTTGCAAATGCTGGTATTGATTGGAGATTTGCCGAAAATCAGCTCGCTGATATAGCTTCTTCACAGTATGCGCATCCTTCAGATCCAGACGATTGCCCGCATCGCTTGCTACCTTCAGTGATACGCACTCCGACGACGATTCTCGGCGCATTGAGTTCTCCAAGCAGGATCTCACGAACACTAATCTAATAATATAATTTTACACACACTAGCGTATACTGCCATGTACACGGTAATAATCAAACACATATTTATGAGTAAAAGTTAACCTATTGTCAATAAAAGTGGCACTACTAATAAATGAGTAATTTATTATGCCAATTAAGTAGTAACTGTTAGCTACTGTTAGCAGAAACTCATTGTTGTTAAAATAATTTAGTCATAAATGAGTAAAGCCACTTTTATTACAAATGGGTTAACTTTTACGCATAAAAGGGTATTTGACTGTTACCGTGCAAGCGTAGGGTTTGTTTTCGTTTTGTTGTTTATTTTTACTTTAGAATGACAGTTCTTACAGCAAACAAAAAAAATCTCACAGCTAACAAAAAATGTCATCTCACTAACACACGCAAATCGCACCAATACGAACCCGCCTGGAGAGGACTATTGCAGCGTCAAGGGTTGTGGGTTTCCACGTGTACCCAGCTCACGTACAATGCTCTCTTCGACGAGCGTCATGGAAGATCCTTCGTCGGGATAAGCAAAAGTGGAGATCGATCTACGTCCACTATATAGTGTTACAGGCACGATTCTGAAAAGCACCGGTAGCTTTCCATCCAGGTGCGTATGCAGTTGTCCTTGGTTGAGGCAATTGACTTGAGGGCCAGCATCAGCCTCACGATGTACCAACGGATGGTGTTGTTGACGACAATTTCCGACGTTGCATGTGATTTTTAAACTACACCAGCCCGTATGCTCGTTTAAACATCGCTCGCATAGTTTCCACCGTTCCATCATTTTCACCCTTTCTCCCGGACTCAAGCGACGAAACTCTTCGCAATTCCGGGTACGATGACCAGCCGTCTTACACACACGACAAGGGCTAACTGGTGGTAACGTAGTAACTATGCGCATGAATGAAGCCCATCTTTCCCCTTCGGCTTATCAGATTTGGCTGAACCTCGTACGTCGACGGACAATGTCACCTCACTCGCCTCAGACACAATGCCTGACGCAAAATCCGCGAACGTTCGAAGCGTTACGTTCAGAGCAGAACGTTTGTAGTTCACCCATTCCCGTTTTGTTGCAGCCGGAAGTTTGTCGAACAACTCTTGAATCAAAACGGGATTCACTAAATGGTTGTGCAATTCTGCTGCCTCCAAGTGGTCGCATAACTCCTGCACTGCCATTCCGAAGGGTATGAACTTCTCAAGACGATCAACTCGCGGTGGGTCCGTTCGTCTTACCTTGTTCAACAAAGTATGAATGAGCTGTTCTGGA